CCTGCTCCGCGCCGCCGGCCGCACCGCGGTCAGAATTAGGCCACATTACTCGCGGCACGAGACGAGAGCGCCGGCGGAATCAGCCTCTTCACTTACTTCACTGCGGTGGCGCGGCAGGGCGGGGCAGCGGGGCGGCGGTCCGACTATTCGCGTAGGCGAGGGGGGGGGGGGCTTAAACTGGCCTTAAGTGCGCCAGGCCAGACCTAGAGGCCCTATCAAGGAGGCGGGGGCAGTCGTGTGTCCAGTCCAGGCAGCTATGGCCCTTTATTACATTTATTAATTTGACGACCGCCGTTTAAAACTGCAATGCGGACGGCGCGGGGTTGACTCACGTATACATAGAGTACATGCGTCTGTGTCGTCTGGTCTCGCGCGGTGTGCCCACGCCTCATGCCCCGGGTACTGACCGTAACAAGTGTGAGGCCACGCCGTGGGGGGGGGGGGGACTTGTTTGCACGGCCGTTCGCGAGGGCCAGGGGTCCCTGCTCCTCGGAGTACGGGCACTGCAGTGCACCTTCCTTATCGAGTCAAAGGAAACTTGGATCAACGTTAGAGGATGGATAGAGACGATAAGGGTTTTGTTTGTCGTCTCGCTATGGCCCTGTGCGAATAGGCAACCCGTCGGCACCCGTGCATGCGGGCTAGTATACGCACGGGGCACAGCCACCACCCTTCTTTTCCCCCGAGAACGCCGGTGCTTTTGCCGAGGCCGGAGGGGGGCACCAATCGAGGAGGACGTTCACACTCACAATCACGCGATTCCCCTTCTGCCGTGCGTTTCTATAGAGCGCGCGCGCTTCTCGTGGGATTGCAATCAAAATGACAATCTTTACAACCCGCGCAAGGATGACACGCGCAAACCGCCCCGGAGCGGCGGGCTTCCCCGGCCACGCGCGTGTGAATATAGACACAATACTTGTCCGGTTTGCGACTCAAAATAACATCCGCAGAACCGTTTTTATGCTCCCTTCCCAGGATCGCTCGCGACCGCTGCCCGCGCCCTCTGGTTTTAACTGATCGCCGTGTTCGCTCAGGGGGACTCTTTTGAATTTGTGGGCGCTTCCTTTCCTTCCCATGGCGCTGGGGCCTTCTGGGGCGCCGCCGTTTGCGCCGGTCGTCGTACAGGTTCGGGGGGACCTTGTTCGCGTGGGAACGCCGTCGGTCTCAGGCCGCGTGCGTCCGCGACCGGGCGACGTCTTTGCGGTCGCCGTCCGAAGCGGGCTGTAATGTATTAAATTCCGCGCCGTGTCAGACAAGGTCGAATAAAAACGGAAAAGACGTTTCTCGTTCCTTGTAAGGCTGTGGTGTTTGCAAAATCTTAGCCTATCGTCCGCGCGCATAGTGCTGTTACCAGGATGCTGACTGACCCCGCGCACTACCGCATGTCTTACGTGCGGGCGGGTTGCCTACTCGCTCGGCCCGTAAGGCGCCATGGCTAGGGGTGATAGGAAACCCCGCCCGCATTCCTGCCTGCGGAACAGTATAACGCGCCTCAGCCGCCTGGTATAGCGACACGGGAAGGCGCCCATGACGCTTTGTTTTGCTTGCAAAGACGCGGGGCTGCAAGCGGGCAAGCTCATGGCTCTCCCTCCGTCGCGGCGCCAGGCCCGGCGACGACGTCCACCAATTGCCACCGGCCCAC